CGCCACCACCACCACCTCCTTCCAGACCCCTATTTTTCGTCTCCAGCAGTAGCGAGTAATGAGACGAGGCGTACACGACAAATCGACAAATAGTCGATTCGATTCGCGTTATTCAGCGCTCGTCTCTATATGTATGGGCGAGGAGGAAAAAAAAAGACGACAGCGGAACGGCTCGTTGTTCTTTAGACAAAAAGCTCACACATTGACATGTGATAATATTTTCGGCCCCCAAATTGAAAAAGTATAGTAATAGAAAATTTAACGATAAGAAAATTATAAAAATTTAATGGAACGCCTTGTTAATGGACATTTAAATTTTAATTGAAAAGAAAAACAATATTATATTGGTCTGCAAAGGTACGTGTTTAGAAAATAAGATTTATAACCTATGAGCTTGTTAGAGAAGTTTATATTTCCATTTGGTTAGCCTCGTATCTTTTTGTTTAATCGGTTTATTTCACTACAAATTATACCTCCAGCTTTCTTCTATTATACATTATGAATCTACGTATTTTCATAAATAAAGGCTAAAGAGCAATTTCAAAGGCAATTATTTACAATTCATACTCAATTTTCATTATTGACGATACAATTAAGTATAGATAATTATTAGGAAGGATGATATAGTTAATTATATAATTATAAACATAATTCTGATAATATAATTTCATTCAAAAAAAAAAAAACAAAAAAACAAAACAAAACAAAAAAAAAAACATTTGTTAAAAATTGAAAGTTAGCTATTCACACTCGAGTACATTATAAATTATCCAATAATCTATTAAATTACTATTATTACACAGCTAAGAGATGTATTAATAATAATTCAATAAAAAAGTTTTCTTTTCAAAAATAAAACTATACAATATTCTATGGTATACTATGTTTTAAAACTCGATAATAGCGCAGTTTTAAGCGGAAACTCTCGTGTCGTCTCTTTTAAATGCACAAGCCGTATATATTGAATATATTTCATAGCCATACTCTTGTTAAAAAAAAAAAAAACCTGTTATTGTTACCTAATCATAACCTATTATCTCTGCTTCCATATATCGATTTAGCGATTTAGTTTAATTAGCGCACAAATCCGTATTCGTATAACTATGAGCTTTATTTGTGATGCTGTTAGAATAATGTCGGGTACATTACAAATGAAAGTACAGTAGTGATTGGGGATAAATAATGTGTAATGTAATAAATTTACCAGCAAATAAATTTGTAGTAAGAATGCCGATTTACGACAAATGGGTGTAAGTGTTTGCATTTGAATGGACCGCTCTCGATGACCTTGTATGCAGAGGTGAAATCGATGACTCGGGGCAACCGACTCCTCTACACAGTTGCTATTTGTTACAAAGAGTCGATACGATACGCTTTAAAGCGAGAAAGGCTAGTTAACGGCGGGATGTCGTGGGAGGGAAGTAACGAAAGTATAGAGTGTTCGGTGAGCAATACTTTGTCGCACGTACCTAAGACTCATGTCTTGGGATTTTTGTTATTTTTTTTTTGCTTTTCTTTGTTTTGTTTTTGTTTTTGTTTTTATTCGAATGATGAAAAAGGAGACATTCCCTTACGAGTTTCCGTTCGTATTGAGAAAAACGTGCTTGCACCCAATGTATTTTCATTATTTCACTTTAATAAACGTGCCCTTGACGAATGGGCTGTTAAAGCTTTTGTGAAGGCATTCGGAAACATCTTCAGTCTATAAAATTGTACGTGCAGAGTTAGGAAATGTGCACTATAAATTTTAGAAATTGTGATAAATAAGGATTAATGTTTGTTAATTAGATAAAGTATTTAAAAAAAATAATAATAAATAAATAATAATACCAGTGTAGATTAATAATCAAATTGTAGTGTAATTTGATTTTGGCGATTTTCGCGTTATAATTAAAAATTAAACAAACCAAATCGTAGTATAAACGAAATCTAATGGAATACTTTCAATGTGACATGTATTATTTATATGTAAAAATTGTATAGTTGATATATTGATAAATAACATTTAATTGTTTTAAATGTTTACATAAAAATTTGATTAATGAACACTATGATTTGAACAAAATATTTTTTTTCACTTTTGCAGTTCACAATATCTGTATCAAAACTAACTTACGAAGAAATCATCAAATCAATATCCGGAATCTATCTTTAAAAGATGTCAAATGAGAAAAAAGACGACAATATGAAGGTAATATCATATTTATGTACTAAATTATTTTAACCTTTGTTTAATAGTATTTTTTTTTTACGAATTAGAATATTTATCAATTCGTTAGTTTAGCGATAGATGTTTCAAAGAATTTTATTATACTTAGCCTAGTAATTAGCAACAACGTTAAACAGAGAATATATTAGAATATTAAATTGAAAATTTATTTGCATCTTTATCAATTATATGTAATAAGACGCACGAAATAAGAAAATGAAAACATCTGCACATACTAGAGTATAAAATTATCAAATACGTGCATATATATATATATATATATATATATGTGTCCGGGCGTGTATGTGTTAGCACACGCATTGATCAATTTTCTTTCTATTTTATGATGATTACATTTTCAAAACCAAGTTGATCAAATCCTCCAACAAGTCTAGACATTGAAGGACTTTATTAAATTAAAATGTATGAAATATCTTATCTGGATCTACACTTCGAGCTTCTCTCGATTAAGCTTTCAATATTAAACATCAACTGGTCAAACGTTTATGCTTGGGCAACGCTAAGAAAATTATTATTCTAAAAGAATTACCGACAGTTTAGTTCTATTTTATTTTTTACTTTAAAAATATTAATCGAATTTTCGCCTGCTTAAGCAATTTCTTATTCGCCGATAAAAGTTAAATGGAGAGTAATTAAGCTCTAAATCTAGGCGTAGACAAGCCACAAGATGGAAACTTGATCGAGATCTAAAGATCTTGAGCCTTAATTTCCTTAACGAGCGACTGTAAGTTGAGCATGAGATGGGATGCTCAAGAGGCATATTCACATCGAGTAATTATGTTTACATGCGCGCAACTCCTACCACTAAGCATTAATCGAACTTTAAATTATAATTATCTGTACAGTACAAAGTACAAATGGGCTATTGATTCCGGAATTAAAAGTGCGAATGGCCTCTTTGGAGAATTACCTTCGTGTATTGATAAATTTCGTTGGCGGCGCCTACAAAGTATACAAACAGCTTGGAAATAACGTTAATTGTAAAATAGTTGCGTTATCATTGAAATAACTACTCGTTAACCTTTCGTTGCATAAAGGTTGGAAATATTTGTTTGCTTAATGGCATTTTTCATCCATACAGAAAAATTCATTCTTTTCCATTGAAAAAAAAAAAAAAGAGAAAAAAAATAGCGCCTAATTTTATCATAGCCTATTTAACAATATTAATTATTTTACTAAATCATTGAATAACATTGAATATTTTTTATGCCTCTTTGCTACGGACCGATGTTGTATTTTTGAGAAATAAATTTTTTTTTCTACAGAGAGAGAGAGAGAGAGAGAGAGAGAGAGAGAGAGATAAATTTAATTAAAAAAGAAAGAATATATAAAGTATGTAAAGTAAATATTAAATAGAGTTAGGATGAAATGAAGCGTTAAATAAGAGAATTATGAAGAATTTTTCTCGATAACAGTAGGAGCACGGATTTACCGATAAATAATATCAAAAGACAAAGAGAAACCGAGACAGACGTTTAAGCCAAGGGCAAAGCGATTTCCTCTGCCTGGGAATTTATCAGGATAAGCAAACTCGATATCGCTCCTCGATCCGGCGAGGAGGCTTCCATGTAATTCTAAACTGTTCGAGGCCTCGCGTGGCCCTGTCGACAAAGTAACCAACAAGCGACGCTAACCTCATTGCCGTCCACCTGTTTTACCGAGTCCGAAGACCCAACAACCATGGGAACCAAGGTGTACTTGCTCGTCGAGACCGACGAATCCAATGCGGCTCCTCTCTCGAGGTATTCTCGATCGATTAATCTTTACGAATTGCGCCGTGACTTTTCGGCTTTTTAAATGGAGCGTGCGAACTCACCGCTCCATACGCCGAGTGACTCACTCGAGTGAATTCAAAGGGAAGCTCGACAAAATTCGCACTCTCCTTATCGTGACTTTTAATTCACAAGGACTCAAATGATAATTGAATGCGCCCGAACAATGCCGAAGGGTAGGTGGACGACTGTCATCGCTATTCTGTCTCATACATCAGCATCGCCAATAGCGTCGGTCATAAAGCTCTTTGAGGAAAAAAAAAATATCACCCTCACCCCAAATCTCCCTCCTCATTCTCCTCCTCCTCCTACTCCTCCTTCTTCTTCTCCTCCTCCTCCTCCTCCTCCTCCTCCTCCTCCTCCTCCTCCTCCTCCTCCTCCTCCTCCTCCTCCTCCTCCTCCTCCGCTTAAAATATTGGTTTTACGTAAACGGCTGTTTCCTTCCTCTCCTCCTCCTCCCCCTCCTCCTCCTCCCCCTCCTCCTCCTTCTCCTCCTCCTCCTCCGCCTCCTCCTCCTCCTACCGTCCTTTCCAATACGTTGGATCACGCAGAAGCACTCGGACAATACTAATATTATATCCAGCTGATTTCTAATCAATTTAACAAGTATTACGATATTTCATAACGCAACGATAAATAGCTCGAACAACTTGACATTTCACACAATTCAAGCAGACGCTTAATCAAACAGAATTGGCATTTGGCCTTTCAGCGGCTTTCCACCGTCTAAAATGCCTTCTTCTTATATCTGCATTTTATCACCAACGTGGGCGTAACAAGCGAGAAAACAATTACTATTTGAGTCGGTGCTCGTATTCGCCGAAATCCCTCGAAAGAATCGGCGCGGCCGTGTCAACGATATCGCTCGTTTTGAATTCATTGGCGTATAGTCGCCGCGCTATGACCTTCGCGCTGCTCTCGACATCTACTTTTAATGCGTTAACGCGCCTCTCCTCAGAATGATCACCCAATTGGCGAAGGGAGCGCAGCCGAGCTCGCAAGACTCGCGCCGAAGCTGCCCAACGCACGAGCCGCCCGAGAATTTGGGGGCGATATTTTCGGTCATACCGCCGCAGCAGCGAACCGAGCGCGGGAGGGCTCACCCGGGCGGCACCCAGTATCATCCCTCCTTCTGCAAGCCCAGGTTCAGCTCGAGGGAGACCGACTCGTCCGAACGTCTGCCGGTTATCAAGTCCCTGTCGCTCGCGATACCTAATACCTGCCCCGACAGCATCGGCCACGAAGTGAGGAAGTCGGCCATCGTGGCGGAGGCGTGCGTCGACGATACAGGCGAGGCTCACACGAAAATCTTGGTTAACTCGGAGGCGCCGAAGAAGAACTGCGCGCCGTCTAATCCTCGGCTCTGCAAACTCGAGTGCCCGCTGGCGTGCTCCTCCCGCGAAAGACGAAACGGCCTCGAGCCGACGTTCGCCGAGTTGCGGGGCAAGAAGTTCCTATATCTCCCGGTCAAGAGCAGTCGGTGCCACAACGTCGGCCCCATACTCTACGACAGCACCTCCACCTCCTCCATAAATTCGACCAACTCGGGATACTACGCGAATCGGATTACGCCGGTCGTCGCGGAAATGAAGAGGTGCGCGAGGAACATACCCGAGGCCAGATTAATTAAGTATAACGCCTGCATCACAAGAAAGGACGGCATGCAGGATAACTGTGATCCCCTTACACGGAGGGCCTTGAAGAAGTGCTATAGGAAGTGAATGAGAGGAGGGCCGATGATTTTCCCGATGCATTACTAATGCTTCTCTTATGCCACACTAGTCCACCTAGTTTGCGCGATGCAATATGATATGTAATAATGCGACCCCGACCCCAGCGAATGCACGTTTCGCGGCGGACTCGGAGGTGGCTCCTTGACGTCAAATTTCATTTGGCCACGACTGTGCGCGCGCATCCTCGTATTCCCTTGTACGTAATTGTCAATGAGCGATCAAATTTTGTGTTCTCTGCTAATATTCGGTAAATGTAATAAAAGGAAAAAGTAAAAAGGATAAATGAAAAATAAAAAATAAAAAACGATAACAACAACGACAACGACAACGACGATGATGACAACGACAAACACGACAACGACAATAACAAAAAATAGTACAAAGTCGTTATATTTTATTCACGGGAAAATCCTTATCTCGCTTTTTTTTTTCTTTTTTTTTTCTTTATATATTTTTATATATATATATATATATATATATAAGTTCAAAAGCCAGCTGGACTCTGCGAATCTTACGACCCATAAGGATAAACCATGAATTAATCGTGGAATTGGAATTGTGCGCCACGCCACTGTCCTATGACACAGCGACAATAATGATAATATAATAATTTCGGAACTACGACACTACTACGTATGTTGGGCCTTGGAGCATCGAGGGGAATAATCTTCGTCGTTGAAAGGAATCGATAATCAATAAAGCAACGTTCGTACGTGCCGAGGGCATTAATTAGTCACGTCATCGGGCCATATTTGGCGAGGAGCTCCTCACCACGGAGGGGATCACCGTAATAATCACCTTCGAAATAGAACACGCTATAATTAACCGAAAGTCCTTATCCCGTCTAAAACATTATCCGACGGTTATTTATCATCGTCGTCGCCCAACCACTCATCCATCCCCTCCTCCCTCTTGTTTATCGACAGAGCAAGGAGTTGGGCAACAACTGCAAGTGCGTGCCGGACGTCCCCAGCAAGCCGCTGTACAAGAGGCCGAAGCGGCTGTGGGTGAGGAAGCCGACGGAGAACGACAACAGCCTGCGGAGACTCAAATCACGGGAGCTGCACGGCAGCGTCGTCTTCAGCAACTGCGATTGCAATCAACGCAACGGCCTCCAGCTCGACTGCCCGCGCAGCAATTGCGGAGGTCGAGTTACTTTACCGAGCCCAAGACGATTGATGCGTGCATAATGTTGATCCTCTTGGCGCTCCTTTGGCTCGACAATTTATCCCTTCTTCGCTCTATCCAATCATACGTAGCGCGAAATTTTGCAAGAGATGCGTTGGACATTGAACGATTAACTGGGCCGCTGCTAGAAGACATTCAAATGGCTGGACAGCGGTGGTGCTTTACGTCGTGCTGGCGAGGCTCTCCCTCTCTTGCTCCCTATGTTTAGTTTTTCTTCACTCTCACTCTCACTCTCACTCTCACTCTC